GTGCCATTCTTTCAACCTAGACAATGCAATGCCAAGATTCGTGGATTTAGTATTTTTGTGGTCTCCAACAGAACATTGTCTGATAAATGTGAAGAACGTGTTAATTTTTGGAAAGACTTTAAAAGCCATTGCTGAAAATCTACAATTTGGTTTCAAGTGCACCCCTAAAATTGTTGATGTACACCGAGAGCAAGTTCCTTGAGCAAACATCCTACTGAGGAAGTAGCCATCAACAACTGGGACCAATCCATACTGAAGAAAGATATGCGTAGCTTTACATCTTATCATCAGTGCTTTATGGCCACATTATCTATAATAACTGCACTCTATTTGCACTGGCGAAAGCATTTCTTACAGACTGATGACTCTAAGCATACCTGTCAGTCTCTGACCTTTGTTCTGGTGGGTGCAACGGGGTCAGTTTTTCGAAGGACAAACTGATATTTTGTTGGACTCTGACTTCAGTGACATGTGCAAGTCAGCAGAATGACTGACCTCTTCAAGGTAAGATGAAATAAAATATAGTTACTTTTCTTTCTTCGATGGATTACCATGGAGACAGGCCATTGCAATGGGTTGTACGTGTAACAATTGAATATTTTGCCTAGGGTTGAAGCACAAGCCTAATTAACGTACACCAAGACACGGGTAGTAGTGAACGCTCTCCTAGAGCAGTGGACCTGGTGGTTCTTCAGAGCACCCAAGAAAATAGATACAGACCGTAAAATGAAATGTACTAGTTAGTTGGTCGCAGAACTGTCCCAAATGCTGGGAGATGGTCAAGACTCAGACTTCACCATACAATCCAAAGTCTGATGGTCTTGTTGAAAGTATATTCAAGTATATGCTTGGAAAGTTTCTCAGCCCTGAACATAATAACTGGGAACATTCGTACCTAATGATGGTTTATGAGATTAATAAACAAGCGTATATCTGAAATGTTTTCTCACCTTATTATTGTTTGAACAAGAGGTGAAACTGCAACTATCAGCCGTAGATCATGAGAACTTGTTTGGGTGGGGGTGGGGGTGAGACACTTTAGGACAACAGTGTCCAGGAGCCTGGTGGGGGTCCAGTGTGCGAAGCCCTCGGAAGCTCGCAGGTTTTTAAGATTTGGAGAAGGAAAAAAACTACTTAGCTACTTATATGTGTGTTTCTTTATTCTTACAAAACAAATATTTTTGTTTTGTTTTTTTCATTGTCGCGCGCGTACAAGAATATATACGTGTAAAACATACAGGAACGTAAAAAAACTATTCCTAATATTTCTGTTAATTCGACTAAGGAGAAGAAAATGTTTTTTCCTCACGAAAAATCATTCATATATATATCATATTACTGTCAACAATCGATGTTTTGAACAATGCTAAAAAAGGCAGTTTTACATTCTGAAACTTGGCAGAAACACTTCCCTACTGGTATAGTAAGAATACCAGAAAATGAGAAGCGATGGTTGAAGGAAAACGTCCTTGCGTATTCCGACCGCTCTGCCACTTCTTTTGTTCTACTGATTTACAATCCTCCTCATCATAATTTTTACTCTAAATTCTATATTATCGTCTCATTAAATATTTATCTAGTGTCGTGTGCCAGCAAGTCAAGGCGCTAACATGAAAATTAAATATGGCGGAAGACGAATGGAAAAGATAATAACAATACAGATTTTGGCTGATAACGAATCGAAACAAAAATTACGCGAAAAACACGAAAAGCGAGAGAACTACCTGTGAATTCGTGAAACAAAAGGTAGAGCTTATGGTGTGTGTGTAGGGGGTGGGGTTGCAAATAACCAACCCACAGATCTGCCGGTGCCTAGGGTAAAAATTTCTCAGTGTCTACAAGAATACCTGGAACAGTTATGATTGGCTATGGGCGACACACACAGGATTGTGCCATACAGGGAAAAACAACTCTACAACAAAGGAAGGGCTACGACATGATGCTTCAGTCCGGTTTGGTTTGTTTGGAATTTTGCGCAAAGCTACACGACGGCTATCTGCACTAACCGTCCCTAATTTAGCAGTGCTAGACTACAGGAAAGACAGATAGTCAATACCACCCACCGCCAACTCTTGGGCTACTCTTTTATTAACGAATAATGGGATTAACCGTGACATTATAATACCCCCACGGTTGAAAAAGCGAACATTTTCGGTGACGGGGATTCGAACCTGCGACCCTCAGATTGCGAGTCGAGTAAGCACAAAGCTACACAATGGGCTATCTGTGCTCTATCCACCACGGGTATCGAAACCCGGATTCTAGCGTAGTAAGTCCGCAGACATACCGCTGTGCCACTGGGGGACTAATATATATATATATATATAAAGGAAATTCTGTTACATATGTTGTTGTTGTTCCAATTTTAAGTTTTTAGTTATTCTTATCAGATCTCTTTCAATTATAATAAGGTTTTCACGTTCTCAGCTGCAGTTCGTGTTTACCACAAATAGCAGGAGGAATGCCAAAAATATGTCACAGTTAAATTAAACTGAATTTCTTATTCTGGCTGAGTTGAAGAAAAGGGTCAGACACACTGTATAAGCAAAACTAAAAATTGAGACAAATCTGGATGAGAGAAGAAAATTGACAATTATGTAAAATAACCCCATTTCTTCTAGAGTGCATATGAAACCCATATAATGGTCATTTCATGAGTCAAAACATGGAGGATATGTCTTCCACGTGCTGTCAACATCTATTGATTTTAATTCCGTTGTTTTGTCAGCTTAAACAAAAGGTCAACAGTTTGTACTCTAAGCTCACGTTTTCCTGTTTGTTTTGAAGTGAATATTGTTTCGAGTGAAACATCATGTGTTATATATTTCTAGATAACTTCATTCCAGTCATCTGGGTCGTACTATGTTGTCTGGTGCACTTTACAATCTTATCTATCCATAATTTTTACTCAGTTAGTTACCAGCCGTTGGTAACCACAGTGTTTACCAGTACAAGGTGTTTTCCATGTCGATTTTAACGCTCTCGATTGATTCTGATTACAAATGTATTTAAACAGCCAGTCACAGAAATGGTCTTTAATAACGACACTCCTGCTAGACGGACTCTACTATCATGCTCCTCTTCGAGTCTTTCACATCCGTGCTCTTCCTCATTGTCTTCAAGACTACCTGTTAAATGGACGTATATATGCAATTATAAGACCTAATTCCCACGTGACATATCGCATGACCAGCACCTTCTACACGTGCGAAGATTTTGTCTTATGGATTCGTAGGGAGGGATGAAGGCGTATTAAAATAATATGTCTGTGTACATACAAACGTCTTGCTTTCTCTGAACCACTAATACTTCGAACTCTGAATGTGAAAACAATCCATTATTACAGAATATTTGAACACCCCCTACAGTTGATTATTGGTACTTCTTCACTATGGTAGAATTGAAATACACTAACATAAACCTTTTGTTTGTTTGTTGTTAAGCGCAAAGCTACGAAATGGGATATCGGTGTTTCTGCCTACCGCGGGAATCAAACCCTATTTTTATTGTTATTGTTTGTTTTTGAACTTTGCGCAAAGCTATGCGAGGGCTATCTGCACTAGTCGTCCTTAATTTAGCAGCGTAAGACTAGAGGGAAGGCAGCTAGTCATCACCGCCCACCGCCAACTCTTGGGCTACTCTTTTACCAACGAAGAGTGGGATTGATCGTCACTTTATAACGCCCCCACGGCTGAAAGGGCGAGCATGTTTGGTGGGACGGGGATTTGAACTCGCGACCCGCAGACTGCAAGTCGAACTCCCTAATCACCTGGCCATGCCGGGCCCAATTTATTGTTATAAGCCCTCAGACTTACCACTGACCCACCGGTTGATAACACCAAATTTACAAATCTAAAAACAAAATGAATGTTGTTGTTTTTTAAATATAGATAAGAAAACATTTTTTTCTTGTTTATTCTTTGTGATACTTGAATTGGTGACTTTTCAGTTAATTTACGCTGTCAGCAAAATAATTTTATTTTCTTCGCGAAATTAATTCGCGTCGCCTGATAGCACGAGCCGTTTACGAATTTTCTGAATCAATTGTACCTAAAATTCCATTTTAACACTGATATTTTTAAACAGACACCTATTCATTAGCAGAGACAGTCAAGGTGATATATTCTCGCGTGTGCAGTTGTGAACAAAGAGTTTCTTATATAAAAAAAAGTTTTTCTTTTTAAACAAATTTTTCTATTCGAGAGTTAAAAAACAACAACTCTTGTTTAGCAACATATAGCCGACGTCAGCAAACTGGACCCCTGGTGAGTGATTATTTAAACACTGCAGAGGAAAATTTGATGCGATCGTCTTGCACCAGAAGCAGTTGGCACGCGGAACTTTGCGCCATCTTATGTTCACTCCTAATATTACAATGTTTGAATGATTCGTGTATTTTGAATCTGACCAATTCACGATACCTTCGTTTCGATTTATAAAAGGCAGCAATAATTAAACAGATCTCTCGAATCTGTTCGTAAAGATAATAAAGGTAAACATCGTGAAGACGACATTTCAGTCTACGAAACTCTTATTATCGAACAATGGAATTTAGATAACAAGTTCAGCATAAGTTAACGAATTAGTCTGATATAAGATTTTAGTTTTCTCTGTAAGTTAACGTGATATATCGGACTGAAATATTTGTAGCGTGAAACGAACGCAGATTGAAGTAAGCTTGGAATTCGAAGACTTTAAACATTCCAGATATTAGTCTGATCCTCAATGCAATGTAAGAAATCTTGAAGAAATCTGTGATAAAAGTTTTAGTCCGACTCTGTTCTTCATCTCTTCTGCTCTGGAATTAAAGTTGTAAAAAGTCTGATTCCATATTTCATCCTTTCTGCTCTGGAATCAAAGTTATTCTTGTAAAAAAGTTTGATTCCGGATTTCATCTTTTCTGCTCTGGAATCAAAGTTATTCTTGTAAAAAAGTCTGATTCCGGATTTCATCTCTTCTGCTCTGAAAATCCCAGCTTTAACCGTATTCACTGAAGTAACATGAAATGTAATTATTTAGTCAACAGTCCAAGCAGGAAGGGAGAGAATCACCTGAAGCCCACAACAACACAAGAGCTATGGGAGGACCGGAAGTTCCTAAACACGTTCTTTCATTACTTTGTCTTGTCGGAACGAGCGATTTTAGTACAAGTTTGTCGCGTATGGAAAGAAGTGATATACCAGCCCAAGTACTGGCGTAATGCACTGCCTGTGTTATCTTGTCGAGAACTCCGTCGCTGCTCCGATCCATCCAGGCGGAGGATTTATCGTAGCTGGGAGAAGCGAGGAGTGGATTCTCTTGGATTGTTTGAACTCTCTGATCCTGATATTGTGGACTTGATTTACAACTGGCCACTGGGTAACTTGCGACATCTAGCAGTTCGTTGGTCAAACATTTCGAATGAAGGGATGAAAACTCTGCTGACCAGTTTCAGGTCATTGAGGCAGTTGGAATTAGTTGGATGTAATGACGTCACAGATGATGGGTTGTGGTCGAGTCTTTGCCCAAGAATTGTATCTGTAACCGTAGCAGACTGTGTCCACGTGGCCGATCATAGTGTGGCAGCTGTCTTACGACTTCTTCCTTCCTTATACGAGTTCAACCTGCAGTCATACCACGTTACTGACAGTGCTCTGGCCTTCTTCGGCCACCAGCGACCACCTACACTGACTGTCTTGAGGCTTCACTCCTGCTGGAAACTAACTGACCAAGGAGTAGAAAACCTTGTCCACTCAATACCCACACTGGCCGATCTGTCCCTGTCAGGATGTTGTGGGATTACAGACCGTGGAGTAGCATTAATAGCCACTCATCTACGAAACCTGCGTTCTCTCGATCTCTCGTGGTGTCCTAAGGTCACCGACGTGGCTGTACAGTACTTGGTACGGGGTCTCACATTCCTGGAGGAGCTCATACTGGACAGGTACAAAATCTCTATGTTAGTGAAACAATAAGTTCAAATCGTTATATTGCTAGGGATGTCATATTTGACTTTAAACACTGAAAATCAAGATATAAACGTGAAATAAAACGCGTCGTAATTAAGTAACTTGAGCTTACAATAGGTGGACAGAGAGCTATACAGAAACATATATGTGATACCAGAAAAGTAGGGAAATCCTTGCACGGAAAGATGGTAAGAACTTGAAAAATATATAGTGTTATTTAGAACTGTTGAACGTCAGTTTGTCTGAAATTTTGGTGTTCATAACATCATGTCTACCATAATTATAAACAACAAAACTGTGTTGTTGTTGTTTCAAGGTTATACTGTGTTGTTGTTGTTGTTCCAAGGTTATACTATATTGTTGTTTCAAGGTTATACTGTGTTGCTGTTCCAATGTTATGCTGTGTTGTTGTTTCAAGGTTATTCTGTGTTGTTGTTGTTCCAAGGTTATACTATATTTTTGTTTTAAGGTTATACTATATTGTTGTTTCAAGGTTATACTATGTTGTTGTTCCAATGTTATGCTGTGTTGTTGTTCCAAGGTTATTCTGTGTTGTTGTTCCAAGGTTATACTGTGCTGTTGTTTTAAGGTTATACTATATTTTTGTTTTAAGGTTATATTGTGTTGTTGTTCCAAGGTTATACTGTGTTGTTGTTGTTGTTCCAAGGTTATACTATATTTTTGTTTTAAGGTTATGCTATGTTGTTGTTCCAATGTTATACTGTGTTGTTGTTTCAAGGTTATACTGTGTTGTTGTTGTTCCAAAGTTATACTATATTGTTGTTTCAAGGTTATAAGGTGTTGTTGTTCCAAGGTTATACTGTGTTGTTGTTTCAAGGTTATACTGTGTTTTTATTTCAAGGTTAAACTATGTTGTTGTTTCAAAGTTATACCGTGCTGTTGTTTGAAGGTTATACTGTGCTGTTAACCGTTAGTTTGTAAGATATTGTAAACTAGGTGAACCTTTTAATATTCACAGTAGCTTTTGTATCTTCCATAGTATAACATAGACTTTTATAAATAACATGACTTCTTAAAATATTAAACTCTTCCAAACAACGTGACTTGTTAAATATACATGTTACTCGGTGTTACTTTACACCACGCTACATCTTAGATCCTTCCAAACAACGTGACTTGTTAAATATACATGTTACTCGGTGTTACTTTACATCACGCTACATCTTAGATCCTTCCAAACAACGTGGCTTGTTAAATATACATGCTACTCGGTGTTACTTTACACCACGGTACATCTTAGATCCTTCCAAACAACGTGACTTGTTACATATACATGTTACTCGGTGTTACTTTACACCACGCTACATCTTAGATCCTTCCAAACAACGTGACTTGTTAAATATACATGTTACTCGGTTTTACTTTACATCACGCTACATCTTAGATCCTTCCAAACAACGTGGCTTGTTAAATATACATGCTACTCGGTGTTACTTTACACCACGGTACATCTTAGATCCTTCCAAACAACGTGACTTGTCAAATATACATGTTACTCGGTTTTACTACATCTTAGATCCTTCCAAACAACGTGACTTGTTAAATATGCATGTTACTCGGTGTTATTTTGCACCACGCTACATCTTAGATCCTTCCAAACAACGTGACTTGTTAAATATACATGTTACTCGGTGTTACTTTACACCACGCTACATCTTAGATCCTTCCAAACAACGTGACGTTACGCTACATCTTTTGAGGCATGTTGTTTAGGCCACACCGGCCCGTTGTCTAAGTTAAACCTATTGGAATTAATAAACAAATAAGTTATTAATTTTAAAGTAATTCGAGTAGCAACAAGACTAGGCCCACAGTTGGTGGTTAATCAGTTCGTAGTTTATCACTTCAAAATTATGGATGAGCCAGACGACCGTTTGTGTTCAGCTTTGCACGAAAATTCCGAAACAGACAAATCAACCTTTGACAAGGACCTTCAGTGATACTGTTATAACGTTACTACAAGTCGACATTCTTCTGGCAAACGTTATTTCTTTAAACAAATGCCCTGAGCATTCAAAGAGCATCTTTTCTTTTGGCAGGGGGAACCGTTTGAAACTACTGTAATTATTCACTTTGCATTTGGTTGAATGTCAAATAGAAATAAGTGTCGAATCTGGGAAGCCGTTAAGTTTGTGTTTTTTCAACATTACACCCGTAACTCTTCAAACCTCCCCGGAATGTCAGTATTTCTTGGAATGTATCTCTTCCTTTCAGCACGTGAGTCACGTGCTCCACGTGGCGATATTGCTTCTGTGACAGATTTGTTTTATCTTGAGAAAGCGTGTGCTTATTTTAGACTATAAAGGGCTGTTCATCACGAAACCTGTACTGTGGAATTAAAAACCTACGTGTTTCTTTGGTTCATCATTTGACAGAACGAGTCCTATATATAGTGCAATATCCGACTGTCCTTTTATCGTGTTAAAGACGCTACAGATTTTTAGGGAACGTTTTAAACGTTTAATATATCCGTTAAAATTTGCGAGATATAAGAACTTCGCGAAAACGTTCGCTCGCCTGGTTTTCAACATCCGTTTATATGTCAAACTTTCAAACCTGTTGTGGAACCAATCCCAAGAGTTTCCCAACCTCCCTTGATCTCCCCTTTAGAGGGGGGGGGCAATATAAAAATATTGAAAATATAAACGTAGATGCTTATTTTCGACGATCCCTTACATGTCCATTCCGATTTTCGAGCAAATCCCTTGGGGGTCTGAAATTGGAAAATTTCCAAATTTTAAAGTACTTTTCACTAATTTTTAAACAATTTTTTTATTCAAACTTGGAATCTCTCCCCCCCCCTCAAAATGTCCCTCGGTTGGATAGCGGTAAGTCTTCGGGTTTACAATGTTAGAATCAGGGGTTCGATTCCACTCGGTGGACACAGTAGATTGTCCGATGTGGCTTTACTATAAGAAAACATACATACTTGCCACCCCACCCCCTAGTGGCACAGCGGTATGTCTGCGGACTTACAATGCTAGAAACCCTCCCTAATCCCTTACTCCTATTTCTGAGGCCTCACCACGAATCTTTTTTTAAATTATTTTTTCTGGAGAGCCCGAGAGTCGTTTCCTCCAAAAATCGTGAAAGGAGTTAAAAAACTTGCTATATTACAGATACACAGGAATGAATATCACCATAAAACGTTTCTATTTTTATAAATGGTCGCGGGCCCCGGCATGGCCAGGTGGTTAGGGCATCCTCAAAGTTTATGTGTGTAGTTTAAAAGCGTCACATTGAAGTTTATAAGCGTCTAAGATTAATTAAAAGTCCGCGAAATGACTGTTACACATTATATTGATTATATCTTCTTTTTTTTTTTACAACCTCGATGAAAAGCGAGCCGATTAAATTTACTAATTATACTATCGTATAACAGAGAGATGAAAGGAATTTTGTGACGAGGTATATTCGCCGGGTTTATTACACTGATCTTTAATGAAGCGAGTGACATGAGTGTGGTAAACGTCCCTTAGGAACGCAGAGTTAGTGAAAAATCTCGCTAAACGCATGTTCCGGGAATACGTGCATTTCCACGGCTACGTATACTATTAGCCACGCCCCAGTTTAACAGTTCTTTTTTGCCGTTGCAATAAGTCAGGCAATAGATTACCCTGAAGACCTTGTCCAGATTCAACAGACGCAGTAAGTCAGGCAATAGATTACCCTGAAGACATTGTCCAGATTCAACAGACGCAGTACGTCAGGCAATAGATTACCCTGAAGACATTATCCAGATTCAACAAACGCAGTAGGTCAGGCAATAGATTACCCTGAAGACATTGTCCAGATTCAACAGACGCAGTAAGTCAGACAATAGATCACCCTAAAGACATTATCCACATTCAACAGACGCAGTAAGTCAGGAAATATATTACCCTGAAGACATTATCCAGATTCAACAAACGCAGTAAGTCAGGCAATAGTTTACCCTGAAGACGTTATCCAGATTCAACAGACGCAGTTAGTCAGGCAATAGATTACCCTGAAGACATTGTCCAGATTCAACAGACGCAGTAAGTCAGGCAATAGATTACCCTGAAGACATTGTCCAGATTCAACAGACCAGTTAGTCAGGCAATAGATTACCCTAAAGACATTATCCAGATTCAACAGACGCGCGTTTATACATCAAAAAGATCACCTTAAGGAACACTAAATATAAAATATGCCAAATAACTGTGAACGTTAGTTAAATGAAACAGTTTATATATATATATATATAGTAATATCAAAGCTACATTGTAAAAATTACAACAATTATGTTAAAAAACCTTCAATTTTTGTTTAATTTTTCCTGGTTGTTTCTTGTAGCCATGCTCACTCTAAGTTTCGTTAGTAAGATACAAAATTTGCCTACTTTGTGACACAAGAAGTAAGACTATTTTGAGGCACCGTTCATTAGCACTAAACATCTAAGATGGATAACTTTGTCGCCATTTTGTGACGATTTTCCGTTTATGTTATAGAGATTTGTTCGGTTGGCCCGTTGCAAAATGAACAATGCTTCAAAGCCAAAGAAAAGTTTGTCGTGTTTACACGATGTGACGAAGGAATGTGCGACTTTAGTTTTGGCAACATGCAACGTCAACCAACATATTCCATACACTACAGTGAATATAATCACCCTAAGCCTAAAAAGGTTTTTAATTTTGAACTAAAATCAACAACTAATGAATAATAGAACTTTTTATTTACTTTATTGAAGGGATGAAGATGATGTAAAATAAATTAGTAAAAGTCTAAAATAATTTTTTATCAAAAAATAAAGCAATAGAATGAATTATTACGTGTGCTTAGATAATTGTTATTGGGCTATCTGCGGTGTCTACCGCTGGGAATCGAACCCCATATTTTAGCCTCCATTGGGAACCTCTCACGTTCAGTCTCAAGAATTAAACTCTTGGAATACAAAATGAAGCTGAAAAGAAAAGAAAACAAGGCAATTTAT